TTATTATAGTAAGAATATAATATAATTTTTGAAGACATAATCTATTTAATAAAAACATATTATTCAACATCTAGGTTGATAAAATTTAATATTTATTAAGAGTTATTGGGTAAAATAATTTTAACGAGAATTACACGTGCACAATCATATACATATATTAGACCTATAAATTTAATTAATATTTTTTTAGGGTAATTAATAAATTGATTCTTTAATTTTTTTTATTTCAATTGGTTCTTTAACTTTTTTTTTTCTTCTCATTTTGTTTCTTTAATTTACACAAATGTTTTAAATAAATTTTTATTATAAAAATTATTAAAAATTATTATTTATTATTTTATTTTTTATTAAATTTAATAAAAATATAATATCTTCTCATAAATTTTTATTTATTTTTTTCTCTTACCTCTCATTTATGCTTTTACCAATTATTTTTCTTTTCTTTTAAACTCCAACAAAAATGTTTCTTCTCTTTCTCTTTCTTCTTCTTTTTACTCTCGTTCTCACCTTTACAATTCATTTTTCACCTCTTTTAAATTTAAAAAATTATATTCTTTTAGGAAAATTTATCTTAAAATCATAGAAAAAGATAAAAAGTGAGACATTGATGACAGTATCAAAGATGTCACTATTGTTATCTAATTCTTCGTCTTTTTCCCATGATTCAACTGAAAAATTTATTAAAAAAAGGAAAGACTTTTAAAATAAAGTTCAATAGGAGAAAAGGATATGGATGAGGGGTATTTTAGTATGTGAGATTGTCAAAGTTAAGTATTTTAGTCTATGTTATTAAAACATTTTATTTACTTATCATTCTTCTTTTTCATTAATTTTTAACACTGTCATCTTTAAAAATCACCATATTTATCTATTTTATGTATTTGTGTTCTCCATTAACATTTTGTTATTGTTATCGAATACTTCTCTAATGTTATTACTTTCTTTTCATCTAACCAAGTTCTCTCACATTAAATTGTCTCTCTCTTTTCTTTCCAATATCCTTGATCTCTGACTCTTTTTTTTTTAATGTCTTTTATTTTCTTTTTCTCTCATTTGTGACTATTGAAAAAGAAAGAAAATTTTATGCTTATGCATAAAATCACCAGCCCATTATCTTCTAACTCCTCAAACAAATTTGGGGACTCTCTTAAAAACTTTATCTTAATGATGGATTCAACTTTGTCATATTTATCTCTCTAAAACACAAAAATACCTTTTTTAGACTTGGTAGAAGTTTCTCTAAAGCTTTTCAAGAAAGGCTTTATGGCCATTTAATGAGAGCTTTCAATCCATTCCTTAAAAAAAGACAACTACTTTGTGTTGATTGGAGAGAGAAAGAGAATATTAGAAAACTGTTCGATGATAGTGGTGAAGTAATCAACAAAAAAAGAGATGCATACATTAGCTAGTTTTGGATGATAATATTATTAAGATATAGTGAAGAAAAAGAATGATGTGTAGATGAAAATTTTAAGAGTTAGGGACTAAAATATCTAACTATAATAATTTTAGGAACTAAAATGACTTGAAAAATATATCACATTGTAAACGACGCTATTTTTGTTACGTAATTAATCATATAAGTAACAAGTTAGTATTCTATTACTTTGTTGACAATATGTGTTTCGAAGGACTAAAATTTTGAACTAATATGAAGTATTTTAAATTTTAAATATTAAAATACTCAAATATTTACTACTATATAAAAGACTAAATTAAATATTTAATCTTATTTTATTATTTTATAATAAATATACATTTTAATTATTTATGAAATGAATTATTACCCTGTTAAGAGCTATGTTGTAACTAAATAGAAATAATTAATAATTATCATTCTACAATTAAAAAAACTTAGATTATTTATTCATCTTAACTTTGTTCTATTAATTGTCAAAATCTACTAATAAACAATATAATTAATAGTTTACCGTGAAAGTCATCCTATGATATATCTAATGAAGTTTTTCATTTTTTTGTTACAGCTTTTATGATATGCCTTATTCTCTCCCATTCTTTTAACAAACTATCGTGAAATCATTAAGTCAATTTTCGGAGAGGAGTGCAAATTCTACCCCATATTTTTCAGCAAATATTTTTAAGTTGTCCTATTTTTGTGATTTGGAAGGACAAAGTAGTTCAAATGATTTATTTGGTTTACTTTAGTAGATTTTACTTGTACGCATTTTCTTGTATTTTTTATATCAAATGAATTTTAAAATTAATTTCAATTTTAAATTAATTTGCTTGTTTGAAAAATAAAAATATTTTTTATAAGATAATTTTTACAATAAGAAATAATTTTTTTATGAAAAATTAATATAATAAAAAATTAAATTTTTTAAGTTAAAATTAATTTTTAATTATTATTAAAAATCTTTTAATATTATCTAATTATTTATTTTTTTCATTCTCTTTTTTTATCCATTCAGACAATACATCATTTTTACTTTATTTTCCTTTTATTTATATCCTTGTTTTGATTTTTTTTCTGTTTTACTTTCTATTTTAATATGGCAAGATTCAAACCCTTTTTAGTTTAGTGCATACCAAAGAAATTTGCTTAAGTAAATTTAGCAAAAAAGTGACTTAAGTCAAAAAAATTTACTTAAATAAAATTAGGAAAAAAATAATTTTTTGCTTAAGTAAAAAAAAAATGTTAAAGCTAAAATTGTAAAATGTTTCAAAATTTTATCTTCTTTCTCTTTAAACTATAGAGACTTTTAGAAATCTTTGTGCAATATCTTGTAGTCATACTTTTTGATCATTTTATTATTGGTCATACATGTATAAATGACTTCATTTTCAAAGAGTCTAAAGAAAACGAAGAATAATAAAAATCGCAATGCCTAGTATACAAATAAGAAGTTTTTCAGTCTTCATTGGTTCTATTATATTTTTTGAATGAAAAAACTCATCAAGTAAGGATTGTCATACCACAAAGACTTACGGGGTCTCAAACCATGTAATAATGCAGTTGTTTTCAACTAATTTTTCAAAGTCATCATCCTATAATTTTTATTATTATTCTTAATAATTTAACTTAATTTTAAATTGTTACACATCACCTATGCTTAGCATAAGTGACTTACTAGACAATACATTTAAAATATTTGATGGGATGGTATATGCAAAGGTATTTAGTAACTAGGTAGTTATTGATGAGAAATAGAGTTTCTCAAATTTTCTTTAATCTAAAGAGGAAGAAGATGAAATTATGAAATTTTTTGTGATTTTAGCTTAAATGAATTTTATTGGCTTAAGAAAAAAAAAATTATATATATATATTTGTCAAATTCACTTCAATGAAATTGTTTTGCTTAAGCAAATTTGGAACTGTAAGCTACAATCCGTGTAACATTCTCATTTTTATATATATTATTATAACATTGAATGTTGGTTATATTTGTGAAGTTATTTGAATTTTAGAGAGTTTAAATGATGTAGGTTGCAGGATATCTCGCTGTAGCGAGAAAAAACGTCCAGAAATCAGGCATTCTGATACTCTTTCGCTGTAGCTAGAATTCTCTCGCTGTAGTGAGAAGCTCTCGTTGTAGCTAGAATGACAGACAGCAAAGTGCAATTTTGTCTGATTTTTTTGCTACAGCGAGAATTTATTGCTATAGCGAGAAATGACTCGCTGTAACAAGAATGTCGTGAGTCTAAGAGTATTTAAGGGTTTCTAAGTTAGAAAACTTGGATTACAATCTAAGTTTCGAGCACTCCCTTGTTCTCTTGACCCCTAACCCTCTCTTCTCAGAAAATCTCTCAAAAACCTCAATTTTCTTTCAAATCCAAGCTTGGGAACTTTATCAATCAACTCCAAATAAGTTTTTTGAGCTTTATTTTCTATTTTTGGGTGTTTTCTAAGTTTCTCTTTTTTCAAAATGTTCTCTTATGTGATATCTAGGAATATTTTGGTCCTTTCACCTAAAACCTTCATAAAATCTCTTTTAAAATTTCGTCTCAAGGTAAGAAGGGCTTTATTTTGTTATTTTAAGTATAATAATTATTTTGTAACCATGAGAGTACTCTATATATGTGTTTTAGTATGATTCTTATGATTGATTGACATTGAGTACTCTTATGATCCTTATCCCAGTTTTAGTACTCTTCTTCCATGCACTAGTTTCCCTCTCTCTCTCTACAATTTTCTCATTTGTTCAACTTAAGATCTTATCTTTTCTCTTACAAACACAACCTAAGAAGTTTAAGTTCTCACAAATACAAACTTCATCCCTTTGACACCTCTCTTTCTTTATTGCCACATTCACCAAAACCACATTCAAATCTAATATTTTGTTCACCTACTTTACACTTCACATTACCCCATTGATCCCTCTAAGCCATCCCATTTGATCATTGGAAGTTCTCTTTTGGCTTTGACAAATCTAGTTTTTACTGTGTTTCTTTCCTTATCCAATTCATTTCATACTTTTGTTGAAACCTCCAAAATTAAGGCTTGGATCCAATAATTCATGTGAAAAAATCTAAAATAAAAGAGCTTTGTCGTGTGAAGTGTAACGTTACAAACTTAACTAGAAGAAGGAATAAAATATTATAAAAAAAAGATAAATATAAGATAAGAAAAAAGACTTTATTACTTAAAAATATTAAAAATAAAAAAATAAACAATTTTTAAAAGAATCTAAAACAACATAAACTCTAAATTCTTAACATGATAAATTATTACATAATTACTTAGTTATAGTGGAACTAAAATGTAAAATTTTAAAAATTAATTTAAATGATATTAATTAATTCAGAAACTAAAATAAAAATTCACTCGTGTATAATTATATAAATATTTTTGTGAAAAAAATTATACCAAGTAATACTAATATTATTTTTTAATTATTTTATTTTAAAATTTTACTGTATTAGGTAGGTAACGAAAAAATAGTAATACTTGACATTAATTTCAATTTTCTTTTCATCTACAAAAAAAAAATTAATTTTCATCTACACTGACCCAATATGAGTCCTGCCACTTCGATTTTCATCTGGTCCCTGCATGGTCGTCTTCAACCTCACCATCCCAAAACATTACACCTAAGCGCACGTTAGCCCAGACCACCAACACCTGCCGCACACTGGCACTGCCAAATCAAATCCCTAATGCGAATCCCCAAATCAATTTCTCTCTAACTACCACTCATCCCTCGAGCTTGCTGATTAAACAAGCAAGCTCTTACACTTTCCACTTCCGATTCCAATTCTCGCCACCACAGAACCACAATGATGGGTTCCGAGAACCAGAGCTTACAGGAACACCCTCTCTCTGCATCAAGAGAAGAAATGGAAAACCTCGTTCTCCACGACGATGATCCTTTGAGCACCAAATCGTACTCCAATTACCGCAGCGCCATGTCCACGCTCTCCGAATCTCACCACCCTCTCTCGCCGTCGATCGTCGCTACCCCCGCCGAGTCCGATCCTCTCCTGTTTCCGACGCAGCATTATCGCGATTCACCAAACCCTAACTCCTCCGACACTTCCTCTTACATCGACCCTCCCTCTTATGCTGACGCCGTTTTCACCCCCTTTGATGGCGAAACTAACGGTGTCGATAGCCCTACACGCAGTTCCGATGGACTCTCCTTTTCTCTCTCGCGATCTTCGTCTTCTAGTTCGGAGTATTTGAAGATAACCGTTTCGAACCCCGTCAAGGAGCAAGAAAACTCGAATTCGATTGTTCCCGGTAGCAATAGCTACGTCACCTATTTGATTACCTCGAGAACGAACATCGCAGAGTTCGGAGGTTCCGAATTCAGCGTTCGGAGAAGGTTTCGTGACATTGTGACGCTTTCTGATCGATTGGCGGAGGCGTATCGAGGGTTTTTCATTCCGCCGAGGCCGGATAAGAGCATAGTGGAGAGCCAGGTGATGCAGAAGCAGGAATTTGTGGAGCAGAGGAGGGTGGCGTTGGAGAAGTATCTGCGACGATTGGCGGCGCATCCGGTGATCAAGAAGAGTGATGAGTTGAGGGTGTTTTTGCAGGTTCAGGGGAGGCTTCCGCTGCCGGCGACTACCGACGTGGCGTCCAGGGTGTTGGACGGCGCAGCGAAGCTTCCCAAACAGTTGATGGGGGAGAGTGTGATTGCTCCGCACGAGGTTGTGCAGCCGGCGAAAGGGGGAAGGGATTTGATGAGGTTGTTCAAGGAGTTGAAGCAGTCTATGGCCAATGACTGGGGAGGTTCCAAGCCTGCAGTTGTGGAGGAAGACAAGGAGTTCATGGAAAAGAAGGAAAGAATTCATGAGCTTGAACAGCAAATCAATAGTGCTTCTCAGCAGGTGTTGTTTCCTTTGAGTTTTATGTTTTCAATGAATGAATGTTGCTGTCAATTTCTGATCATAAGGATGTGTGTATATATACTTGTATAATTTGTTGGTTACTGTCTGTTGTTTAGTTTATGTCTGTATGGTTATTGGTTACCGTAAAATTTCTAATCATGTATCGATTATTGTGCAGGCCGAATCCCTTGTCAAAGCACAGCAAGATATGGGAGAGACAATGGGTGAATTAGGTCTGGCATTTATTAAATTGACAAAATTTGAGAATGAGGAGGCTGTCTTGAATTCTCAGAGGGTACGAGCTGCCGAAATGAAAGGTGTAGCGACGGCAGCTGTTAAAGCTAGCAGATTATTTCGAGAATTAAATGCTCAGACTGTGAAGCATTTGGTACATAATAATCGTTTTAATAATATTTTTTCTAGGATATGTTTCCGGTAAAGTAGCCTGGTTCAAACAATTTTTCTTTCAATGTATATATTTTCTGTAACTTGGCATTTTCTTACGTAGGTCTCACTTTTCCTAAATAAACGGAAACCCACTGAATATGATGATGATTTTCCAATTTATGCATAGCAGGATACACTTCATGAATATCTTGGATTAATGCTAGCTGTTCATAGTGCATTCTCGGATCGCTCAAGTGCACTGTTGACAGTGCAGACTCTTCTATCAGAATTATCTTCTTTGCAGTCAAGAGCTGAAAAACTTGAAGCGGCATCATCTAAAATTTTTGGGGCTGACAAATCGAGGACTCGTAAGTTGGAGGAGTTACAAGAAACCATAAGAGTCACTGAAGATGCCAAGAATGTTGCAATTAGAGAATATGAGCGGATCAAGGTCTGGTTAGGTGTTTTATTGGTTTCTTTGGCTAAATAGAGCATGTCTAAATAGCTTTTTTGTTTTGAGGATAGATTGTGTTCCAAAATGTTATATAATTATATATGCTTCAAGGTTCTATTTCTTGTGATCCATCGAAGTTGTGTTTAATTCAACTTCTTGTTTAATATTAGTTGAATTTTAACATTAATTTTTGTCGGTTTGTTTTTCTTTAGCCAACTTAAAACTTTGTCATCTGCCTGCCTTTACTGACATTTCTTAGTTATAGAATAGTGGTTCAGATCTTTGTATTTGTAGACATAAGTGTGTTTAGGGTTTGTAAATCTGTACATTGAGCTCCTCCTATATCCATTCATACTGGAAACATTTCCCCAGTATTCAGATACTAGGGTTATTAGTCTTGTTTTTTGCGTTTGGGCTTGTAAGTAGTATTGGCACTTGACCTAATCTAATGATTAGTAAGATATGAGTATTTGATTTGGGTTTTATATGACCTTAAATCTATCAATCATACTTTCAATTTATAATTGTTACTAGCTTTCTCTCTTTTCTTTCTTCAAAGCATGTGTATTTCTTAAAATGGTATCAAAGCAGTACAATTCACTCTGAGGAGTGTCCTTTCTCCTTTGTTAAGCTCATCACACTCAGTTGTACATTCTCTTCTCTGTTTTCTGTATCGTTCACTCCTCAGTATCTAAGAATCTGTTATCATATGTTGCTATTGGTGAGACTCTGCTGCTGTGAATATAATCTTATTATTCTCACTGTTCCTTTCCTCTCTTCTGTTTATCACTTTCCCTACTTAAACCCTATAATTTCAACAATTTTAAGCCTTTGATACTAAGTCAACAATCAATTCTAAAAGCTAAAACTGTTTGGTGAAGGCACATGAGTGGCTTTGCATCTAACAGTGGGCTTTGACGAATTTTCAGGCAAATTCTGTTTTTTCCTCTGTTTCTGTTTCACACAATGTTCCTCTTCCTATTTTTAGATTCAGTCTTGACCGGAAGTGATTTGAGAGAAGTAGAGATGTTTTTTCTTTTGTTGTTTTGAAGTTTTTCTGTCAAGCATCCTCTTTGGCTTTCCTTTCTTCTATTATTGTTGTTTCTCTTGGATATGGTTCCTTCATCTGTGTCTCTGGTTTGGGTGTGTTGGGTGCATGTCCAACAATATGTTTTTCCTACCTTTTTAACCTGTTTTTTTCTCACATGTTTTTCTTTTGATGGTTCAACATCGTCAAACTAACTGTCTTTCCTTTTTCTGACAACTTCTTTCTATTTTTCTTGGTGATATCAAAATTTTGGCTTGGGTTGGTTTGCTGAATTGTTCTGCTTCTTTTTAGTACATTTGGTTATTGTTCTGTTTTTATTTAGATTGTTTGATGTCTCTTGCATCTTTGCATGGCGTCTTTGGCGTTGAACTAATGAACGTTTTTTTTTTATAATTTTTTTTCATGATGCTTTTATATTTAGTTTACTTTATCTGTATCTGGATATTGGATGATGATGATGCCAATGCAGGAAAACAATAGGAGTGAACTTGAAAGGCTTGATAAAGAAAGGCAGGATGACTTCTTAAACATGTTGAAAGGATTTGTAGTTAATCAGGTAACTATATGTCTGTTCTTTTTAAGTGCCCCTATAAGTAGAAACTGTATTCTCCTTTGATAGTTTTCACTTTGTACTTTTAAACACTTTCTGTTTTGTTGCATAAAAACCGAGTGATAATTCAGAAGTATTTCTGCTAACATAAATGGGTGTCAAGGTTATTTTTGTTGGCATATATTTCCCTTGTCATGTACGGGAGTAACTAATAAGATAATTGATAAATCATGCGAGTGTCTGAACGTGTTCATTTATATGTGAACTATGGCTGTTTGATCAAGTGAAATACTGTGCTCAATTTTTGGGGGTGTTATGCTTACAGGGAGAGGGATGCATGATGAAAGGGAAAATAAGAGTGTGTGGTTAGCTTATTATGGCCAGTAGTTTTTATGAGGTGAAGGAAAATTAATGCGATGATTTCATCTGTATCAAGAAAATGTGCTAGATTACTCACCAAAAATAAAAAAAGGATACTGGAGTAGAAATAACTATACTATCCAGACTGGGATTCAGAAAACAAAGTGATAAACTCATTCAATTTTTGGGGAGAAAATAGTTGAGATTTTGGTTGGTGAGAACATGTATTTTTATTGCAAAAGGATTAGGTATGTTGTCTCTAGTGTTTGTTGGTTTGTGACACCCATTGATCTCCGAAAGATATTAAAATTGTGAAAGCTTACTTGAGAAGCCAGAGTACACAAGATTCTAGTGTTCTACTTGTGTGTGCTCTTAAGAGTAGTCAGAGAGTGATTTAACTGCTTTCAAATTCAATGACGTGTGTGCTTCTAATCTTATGGTTACATTAATGAGAACTGAAAGCTGTATGTTTCAGTCAACTCCTGTTAATTTGTCGTCTCATATGCCCATGTTGCTAGTTTGTTGATGCTATCTTTGTTGCATTCATCTGCTGCTTTCTCCCCATTTAAGCAAGCCTTGCTGTGAATTTATAGGTTGGGTATGCTGAGAAAATAGCAAATGTTTGGACAAAAGTTGTTGAAGAGACCCGCGGGTATGTGAATGAAAGCACTTGATCTATGGCTGTAAATTTAAATCTTCATATTTTTTCATTGATGTGCCACTCTCGGGAATATGTCTGTAGTTCTGACAATAAACTAACGAAACCACTTTGTGGGGTTCTTAAGCTCTTTCTCAAACTTGTACCTCTGAGAACATTTCTTATACATCATTGAAAGCATACTTGCTGTTGTACATGCTATTTGTTTGACTCCTGGCGCTTTTCCTTGGTTTTGCTTTTTGTTTGTATGTTTAACTCCTTTTCCAGTTTCTAAAGTAGATCATATCCCATTTACCCAAAAATATTATGCCACTAAATTGTGTAAAATATACTGAACATGAATTTACGGCGTTTACTGAGCTATGTCCCGTGTTTGATGCGTTGCTTCAAATCGTAGTAGTCTCTTTTTGGGGTGTTTAAAGAAGCAATTTACTTAATAAAGTCATTTAATAGCAATTAAATTACTCAAGCTCAATAATTTCAATTCAAATTAAATTTAGTCTATACAGCTCAAAAAGTCCTTATTGTTTTAGTTGATAACTAATTAAGTTTGTGTTTGTTCCCTTTTGAATGAAATTACAGGCAGCAAAAGGAGGAACTAAATTATACTTTTTAAAAATAAATATATGGATCATTTTGCATCGTTTTTCTGCAGGTATTTGCTCGGCTGAGATATTTCACAAATTCTAGTGTTTGTGTGAATGTGTGATATAATTTTAAATACAACTGTTTTCTATTTTCTTTTACTCTTTTTCATTACTCGGATGCTTTTACTTACGCAGAACACACATGTTTATTTCAAAATTACTTTGTTTTTAAGAAAAAACGAATGCTAAAGAGACAAACATCTGCCTTTTCAGAGAAACAGAGAAGAAATCCTTTACAATGGGCGGTTTCTACAGAACTTCCTCCTGCAGTTTAGAGGCAGTTAAACGAAAAATGCAAAGTTTTTTCAAAACTGTTTTTTGTCTATTTTTTCATTGTCTTGAATAAAAAGTATTGTTTTGAATGAATATGTTTCAGATCGGTTAAAAATAAAGTCAATATTTTTTTATAAAGATTGACAACCTGTTAACTTTTGAGAATGTATTAAGTCTATATTTTTAATATTTTATGGGAACTTATTGAGCTTGAATGTTGGCCATCCACCAATCTTATAAATTTCACGCATTATATGTTTAATAAAAATGAAAATGATGTGTTAAGATACTTCACATTTGGCTACGAATAAATCAACAGATTGTTTTTATGAAAATTGGACACTCTTTTCTTGTGAGTTAACTATTGAAGGTAAATTTTACTTAGTTTCCTAATATGTTGAAAAAAAGATTCAGCGAGGCTATGCTCCCTTTGAACGTGGATTAACCATGTTGATGTTGGGGCTTTAAAGCTCTCGTCCCTGTGATAGTTGAGGTGGAGATCACAATTTAACATATCTTGATACTTCTCGGCAACGTTTTAACATTAAAACCCCGCTTCTCACCTATCTTGATGCTTGTACGGTCACTTGCCCACGAAAATCTTTCCCCAATGTTTTTCTACGTCAAGGGAAGACGTTATAATCCAAATCTTAGGCAATTGGCATATATGGCGTCAACATGGATATGATGTTTTGTTGATGTAGCCTCACTAATGGAGTGTCGCTGGTTTTGTGCCAAAGTATGATCAGACACTATGCGATAAATTTTTAGACTAATTAGATAAAATTATTCTTAATTTAATTATTTTAAATTTATAATAATAAATTTATTTTTTTTCCTTTTTCCTCTCTTTGTGTAAAACAAACAAGATATCTCTTCTCGCTCTATTAGAATCCTTTCCCTATGTTAACCTCTTCTTTGAAATAATTGAGAGAAAATATCATTTAAATCGAAATATTCAAAATATTTTTTTTTTATTTTACTTTCTTATTTATTTAGCTATGTGAAATTTAGACTCTAATTTTGAAGATGTGTAATGTGACATTCTATACTTTTAAAAGTGTGCAAAAAGTCTTTTTGTTACTTTGTTATCTAATTTTTTTATTTTTTAAACAAAAAAAATTTCAAATTCATAATTTCCTCTCTCTATAAAATGTTAAATGAATTAACTTTAAAATTTAAATATGTAAAAATTTAAATAATGATTAAAAAAACAAGTTGAAGAAAATTTTTCTATATTTTATATTTTACTGAATCTATTTTTCCCAAAAAAATTTACCTATTATAAAAAATTACTTGTTTTACTATTTTCAATAGTGTTTATTTATTTTTATTAATTTTGAGCGCAAAATATTAAATTTAAACCTTTTAATATACCACTCGTTTTAGAATTTAATCAAATTGAAGAAAGCTTTCTTTACACATTTTTATAATTTCTTTATGTTTGAAAATTTTTAAAAATTTTAAAATAGAACAAAAATAATAAAAATAAAAAATCATAATTTGGAGACAAAAATTCATTTAAACGAAAATTTATATACAAAACTTTAAATAATGGCAAAAAGTGAATTTGAAGGTATGGTTTTCGGGCTGAGCGTATTAGAACTTTTTTGGTTACTTAAGTTATACGAATTTTATCCTTTTGCCTTTGATACTTGTAGATATTATAAATTGCAATTGAAAAAATAAAAATAAAGCTTCACTACCTATGCCTTTTCAGGTTTTAATAACTCCCTTACAAAAGTGATTTTTCAAAGTGTTATAAATATCATACTGTTATAAAATGAACGTAAAATTACAAGGAAGAATAGAGAGAAGAATATAGAGAGGAAGAGAAAATCTCAATTTCGTTTCACCTATCCTCAATATAAATGAGACACCTATTTATAAGCCTAAAACTATAACTGAAAAATCGTATCTCTTTAAATGAGAATTAAACAAAACAGTTACAAAATCATAAGTTACAAAGAATAAGGAGGAGTTATGAATATGGACATTCACTCATATAATAATTTATAACACTCTTTCTGGAATGTCCATTATTTGAGAACATGTTTCATAACATCTAACTAAGAAAAACTCGATGGGATAAAAGTCTAAGAAAAATATATTATTATTTACGTTATTACATATTGCCTCATTAAAAACTTTGCCAGGAAAACTTAATGGGAAAAAAGAGTGTAGAGCGTATTAATTCTCCCCCTCATGTGGACAATCATTTCCAAGATGACGAAGTCCAATCTTGTGAACTAGTTGTTCAAAAGTTTTACTTGGAAGTGATTTTGTGAAAATATCTGTTAGATTCTCACATGAACGAATTTGTTGAATATTTATATCACCATTCTTTTGAAGAACATGGGTAAAATTTTTTTTTGGAGAAATATGCTTTGTTCTATCTCCTTTAATGTACCCTTCTTTCAATTGAGTAATACATGCAACATTATCTTCGCATATAATTGTTGGAGTCATTTTTCCTAAAGATAAACAACAAGTTTCTTGCACATGTCTTCGCATATAATGTTAAAATTTCTGCATGATTGGATGATGTAGCCGTTATGGTTTGTTTCATAGATCGCCATGAAATGATTGTATCACCACATGTAAACAAATAACCTGTTTGTGATTTACCATTATGTGGGTTAGACGAAAAACCCGAGTCTGCATAACCAATCAACTCAAATTTAAATTTGTTTAGATAAAATAAACCCATATCCATTGTACCTTTAAGGTAACGAAATATATGTTTAACTCCATTTCAATGTCTTCTTGTAGGTGAAGAACTATACCTTGCTAATAAGTTAACAACAAATGATATATCAGGTCGTGTATGACAAACAAGATACATTAGTGTTCCAATTGCACTAAGATAAGGTATTTTAGGACCTAGTAGTTCTTCATTCTGCTTCTGAGGTTTGAAAGGATCTTTGTTTACATCTAGTGACCTTACAACCATTGGAGTACACAAGGGATGTGATTTATCCATATAAAATTGTTTTAACACTTTTGAAGTATAAGTTTCTTAATGCATAAAAATTCCATTCTTTACATATTCAAGTTGTAATCCAAGACAAAACTTTGTCCTTCCAAGATCCTTCATTTCAAATTCTTTCTTTAAACAATTTACTGTTTTTGAAATCTCTTCAGGAGTTCCAATGATATTTAAATCATCAACATAAACAACAATTATTACAAATTCATTATAAGATCTTTTTATAAAAATGCATGGAGAAATAGGGTCATTTTTATATCCTTCCTTCAACAAATATTCGCTAAGGCAATACATGCGTCCATATTGTTTCAATCTATAAAGTGATTTATTCAACTTGATTGAATAACCTTCTCTATAATTTGAATTGTATGCATCTGATAAATTAAAACCTTTAGGGAGTTTCATATAAATGTCATTATCAAGTGAGCCATACAAATAGGCTATAACAACATCCATTAATCGTAAATCGAGTCCTTCATTTGCTGCTAAACTGACCAAGTATCGAAAAGTATTTGCATCCATTACAAGTGAATATGTTTGTTCAAAATCAATACTAGGTCTTTGCAAAAAACCTTGGGCAACAAGTCGTGCTTTATATCTCACAATTTCACACTTTTTATTTTGTTTTCACACATAAATCCATTTATATCCGACTGGCTTTACATCTTCAGGTGTACGAACTATAGGTCCAAAAACTTGACGCTTTGTAAGCGACTTTAATTCTTCCTCAATTGCAACTTTTCATTTTTTCCAGTCACTTCTTTGTCTACACTCGTTGACTGATTTTGGTTCATAATCCTCTATATCAGTTATCACATCCAATGCTACATTAAATGAAAAAATATCATCAATATTGACTTCATTTCAGTTCCATTGTATTCTATTCATGACGTAATTTATTGAGATATCTTTATTTTTATCATTTTCAGGTACTTGTGTTTCTTCTGGAACTAAAATATTAATTATGTCTGATGACTCGTCTGGAGTCTTTACATCCTCATTTTAGTCACCTTGATTCTTAGTTCCTTTTCTTTTTCGAGGACTTTTATCTTTGGAACCAAAAGGTCTACCATGCTTTATACGTGATTTAGATTGATTTGCAACATTATATTGTCCAATCGGAACATTGATTTTGATTAGAGCATTAGCAGCTGGGACATATGATTTAGTCACTGTTTTTAGATTCGTAAATACATTTAGTAGTTGGTTAGCTAAACCTTGCAAATGAATTATCTTTTAAACTTCCAGTTCACACTGTTTTGTTCGAGGATCAAGATGAGATAAAGATAATTCATTCCAACTTATTTCTTTTTCCAAATGTTTATTTTCTCCTCCTAAAGTAGGAAAAAATGATTCATCAAAATGACAATCAACAAATTGAGCAGTGAATAAATCTTCTGTCATTAGCTCAAGATACTTTATTATAGATAAAGATTCATAGCCAACATATATTCCTAACCTTCTTTGAGGACCCATCTTAGTGCATTGTGGTGGAGCAATAGGAACATACACTGTACATCCATAAATTCTAAGATAAGAAATATTTAGTTGTTGACCAGAAACTAATTGCAAAAGGGATAACATATGATAGCTTGTTGGTCTGATGCGAATAAGTGTTGCAGCATGCAAGATTGCATGTCCCCAAGTAGAAATTGGAAGTTTTGATCTCATTAGTAATGGTCTTGCAATTAATTTTAAACGCTTGATCAATGATTCAGCAAGTCCATTTTGAGTATGTACGTGTGCTACAAGATGCTCAATATCAATCTCAATAGACATACAATAATCATTAAAAGCTTGAGATGTAAATCTACCAGCATTGTCAAGGCGTATTTTCTTAATTGGATAATCAAGAAAATGAGCTCTTAAATGAATTATTTGTGCAAGTAATCTCGCAAACGCCTGGTTGCGAGTTAACAACAAACAAACATGTGACCATCTAGTTGATGCATCAATCAAAATCATAAAATATCTAAATGGTCCACATGATGGGTGTATTGGTCCACAAATATCACCTTGTATACGTTCTAAAAATATGATAGATTCATTTTCAATCTTAGCTGGTGATGGTCGACTAATTAGTTTTCCTTGAGAACAAGCAACACATGAGAAATTATTTGATTGAAGAATCTGCTGGCTCTTCAATGAATGTCTACATGAATTTTCAATTATTTTTCGCATCATGATTAATCCAGGATGCTCTAATCATTCATGTCAAATAAAAAAATTATCATGATTTGTAAACTTCTAATTTACAATAATGTGTATTTCAATTATATTTATATGTGTGTAATATAAGTCAGAAGAAAAAGAAGGTAATTTTTCTAACACACATTTTTTTATTTGAGATAATTTTTGTGATATACATGTATTCTTCTCTTCCTTCATTTGTTGTTTCAACATGGTATCCATTTTTGCAGATATCTTAGAAACTTAATAAGTTTCTATGAGACTTAGTGGAGTATAATGCACTAATAATGTGTAATTTTGTTCCACCAGGCAACAATATATTAGCTCTACCGGAGCCTTCACTAATTTTTGTACTACCAGATATATTACTCACATTAGCTTGTTGCATCACTAAATGAGAAAAATATTTTTTATTTTTGAGAATTGTGTGAGTTGTTGCACTATCAATAAGACATATGTCTTCATTGTTAGTGTCGTCCATATTGACATTCATTCTTCATTGCAAAAATAAATAATAAAAAAATAAATAGATATTAAAAGAAATGGTGAAAATTTATTATTTTACTATTATTTATTTACAATGACTATATTAAAAATTAATTTAAATAACAACTATATCAATGAAAAAAACAACAACTATAATACATGACAATTTATCTAATCGTTACTATTTTTTTTTTTAGAGCAAGAGAATACATTAAACATAAATTAACATATAGAAAAAAAAACATAATAACTCAATAATAATAAAAATAATAATAAACTTATTTTTACCGCTACCATATTATTATAAATAAAATCATTAACAAAAATAATAATAGATCACTAATGATATGGTCATTTTTTATTTTTATTTTTTTATTTTGATCAGCATAATGATTAGCAACATCTAAGTGGGTAATGTCCGTATGATCATAAAATTATTATCATTTTCACAAATAAAATTTATCTCTATCTTTTTCCCTTATTTTTAAGTGATTCTTGACAAAGATCAATAAAATGCTTTGGTGTACGACAAATATATGATCAATGACCTTTGCTTCCACAACGCATATGTTTTTCATATTTTTACCACTTTGGATACTTTTATCCTTTTCAATTTTCTCACTATTTTTTCACTTCTGGTGTGAAAAATGTATATTTCTGATTATCGCAACGACCATATCGATAACCATTATCACGATAGTAAGTTTGTGTATAATTACAATAGTCACAAGTTGTTACATTTAATTCTGGGAATGGAACAATGCCAATTAGGCGAGATTCATGACTTTTATCAAAACCTTTTTATTCAGCCACAAGAAAACAAGAATAAATTTAGAATATTTTTGAATCATTTTTCACGATATTGCTACTGCAGGAACACGTACGTGAAAAGTTGAGAATGTTTTTCTTCTAACGTATACTCATCAAAAATTTTTTTTCCACCCAATTTTAATTGAGATTACAGTAAATAAATAATGATATATTTCTATAAGAAAAATAAAAATAAAATAATATCTTACCTTTATTCAACAATGTTCCTTTCTTGAAAAGTGTGTACTAGAGTCTTGTGCTAATAACGTGTTATAAAATGAACGTAAAATTATAAGGAAGAATAGAGAGAAGAATATAGAGAGGAAGAGAGAATCTCAATTTCATTTCACCTATTCTCAATACAAATGAGACACCTATTTATAGGCCTAAAATTATAACTGAAGAATCGTATTTCTTTGAATGAGAATTAAACAAAACAATTACAAAATCGTAAATTACAAAGAATAAGGAGGAGTTATGAATATAGACATTCACTCATATAATAATTCAAAACACATACTTTGTTGATAGAGTTTTAAAATTTTAATTAGTTTGTTGTTTATCAAATTGAAGGTCTTGAAATACATACGGTATATATTAGTTTATAATTTAACTTGTCGGAATTCTTTAACATATATAGATGCTGGCTTTTGAACTCCATATATTCTTAAAATTCATAAACAGCTTTTAATCAGCACTCTCAAATTTCTTTTTTGCACCAAGCTCGCTCGTTTTATGAATAGAGACTTTTACTATGGTCAACAGATCGAAGATCTACCTAGAGACTTAGTATTCTTGCACGATTTAACAAGTACATGAAAATCAAAAGACAATTATCTAATTCAAACCATATAAAAGTTGATATTCATCTAATTGGTTCACTATTGAAGAAGTTTGATTTGCTGGCACATGGGGAGAAGAAGATGATCGTCATACATTTATTGGTAACTTAAAATTAACAATCTAAAATATAAAAAAATAGATAAAATGCATAATTATGTAAACTATAATTATTTTACCTGATTTCCCTTAACAATTGCAAGAAGAATACAAATTCTTCTTTAAGACATCAACATAGATAACAAATGCATCATCAATTTCTGCAACGTGTGTATGTAGTGAATCAACTTGTGCCATTACTTTTCAAGAAATGAGTTTTTATTTAACACAATTTGGAATGCGTAATCTTTGATTGCATGCAAATGAATTATGATGTCTATTTTTATTATGAAAAATAAAATAAAATTAAACACCCAAGTCAAAGAATCAAATTGAATATCTATTTATTTATATGTTTTAAAGGTGCTGCAAAAGTTGTATGTCGGACGTATCAAACACTTCAATCTCAATCTTGACTATTTAATATATTGAAATGCTGATAGAAATTTGGGATCCTCAAAAGTTGCCATGTAACAAAAGTACCAAGCGAGTATTTTACCTTGACCAATAACGATTTGGTCTCTAACCTTTTTATGACTACAAATGTGTTCTTAATTTACAAAGATGTTAAATATTATTTTCTATTAATTATCCTTTTTTCGAAGAACAATTTTTAATCAGGACTCTCAAATTTCTTTTTCCACCAACCTCGCTCATTTTATGAACAGAGAATTTTACTGTGGTCAATAGATCGAAGATTTATCCAGATACTTTTCTTCCACAAATCAAGATAGCCCCATTTTTTGGTTTTCACTTTCACTTCCTCCGTAATGAATCAGAGCAATCCCTACATCATAAAGATGTGTTAATATTAATTATTAGGACCAATTTTAACAATACTCATTATATCATCAATCATACAAAATACCCTGTAATATAATCGAGCAATTAGCTTAAAAGTTGGTCATCTACGTATATTTTTATTTATTTATTTTTTCAGACTAACGGTGCAAATTTCTACTGCAATAGTAAAATTTACCAACTTCAATCTTGACGCGTTTAGAATTTATAAATAGTTAGGAAAAATTGATCAAAAGAGAAACATTCTAAAGTAAGTATATGAAAGGTTTGGAAAACAAATAACTACTTTTTCTTTGACAAAAATACATGCATATCTAATTAATTTTTGAAACTTTTGAGTTCATAAATTCAGAACACATTTGTAAATAAAATCTTCAAACCTCGATGAAGTTATGAACAATGAAAATAACATTATTAATTTACTAAGTAGGAGAATCGCTGAAAAGAAGGAAGGCAGGGAGTCAACTTTTGAAGTCAACTGGCATAATCGTGGAAGAGAAGTGCAAATGGTTCCCTTCAAAGTCAAAACTGTCGGCTCTCAGTTTCTCTGTTCCTGAATTCAAAATTTTCTTGCTTGATGAACAGTACTCATGCTCATCCAAATTCAGAGATGGCTAATACAGCCAAAGGTATGGAGATTTGTGTGTTTTGTTTCATGTGTTGTTGGATTCATCTGTTATGGTCTCAGCTTACCTTTCAATAAATTATTGGGAAAGTGGGCTTTGTGGAAGATATTACTTTATGTTGCTCTTAGTTTTATAATTTGCATTGCTATCTTGTTTGGTAAGGCATGGCAACACTCCACCCCTCCACAGTTTGAAGCTCACATGGCATTTATTGTTTTGATCAGCACTGGTCTATACTCCTTTTACATGGACAAACTGGGAAACAAACAATCAGATTCATATAGCTTGATTTCATATGCTTCATTTTCTATCATGTCTTTAGGCTTGTCAAGACTGAGTCACTTCGGATTTGAGGTTGATCTCCTATATTTTTTCAGTGGAATTTTCACAGTACAACTCATGAAAATAAAACTATGGTTAGGAATTGTTGGAGGGGGTTTCAGTTATTCCCTCATCATTCTTCGTTCCTCTTTGGATAATCTAATAAGAAATGGATATCATGAACTGCCAGAAGAACCTCAAGTAGACATCGAAATTGGTTTACCTTCACCAGTTACTAGTCATAGTGCTTCTCAAGGGGGTTCTACTTCTCCCCAAGCCATTAATAGTACTTTTAATGTTGATCCACAAGAAGCACATGCCCCTCTAGAAAATGAGGATGTAGGATTACTTGCCAACCCCGTTGATTCACATTCACAACAAGGTAACAGTGATAGTGATAGAGGTTGTTGTTGTTAACATAAAATAAGAGTAGAAGGATAAAAATGTTTTGCGGAGAATACTTCGATATTATTCACTTGCTCGTTTTAAATAGAGATAGAGTCAAACATACAAAATAAAATATCCCTTATTTTTAGGCACGACTAACAATAATTCAATCTGATAAACAGAAACAAAAACTCCTAATGACTAGGTCTTAAATAACAGAAAATTAAAATTTAAAAATTGGATAAAACAGCCACGTGTGCAGTTGTTGCAGGCATATTTTCAACAAATCTCCTCCTTGCCTCAATAACTGCAAACACCTAATTTGTTTCTCAAAGCTTCAAATCTAGATTTTGGAAGGGCTTTTGTTAAAACATCTGCACTTTGATCTTCAGTTCTGCAATAAAGAAGTTTGACTTCACCTTCTCTTTGTACTTCTCTTAAGAAAAATAGCTTAATCTTAAAATGCTTAGTCTTGCAATGAAAAACAGGATTATTTGAAATAGAAATAGCTGCTTGATTATCAACAAAAATCTGTGTTGGCTCTTTTTGCTCCATATGTAGATCAACAAGTATATGCCTTAGCCAAATAGCTTGATTCACAGCTGCAGTGGCTGCCACATATTCTGCCTCAGCTGTGCTTTGAGCCACTATATCTTGTTTTTTGGAACTCCATGAAAACATACCCGAACCAAAGCTGAAACAGTAACCTGTTGTACTTTTCATGTCATCATTTGAACCAGCCCAATCACTATCAGAATATCCTTGAAACTGAAAATTTTGAGAGTGAGTGAACTTGATGCCATAATTTATAGTTCCCTTGACATATCTCACAATCCGTTTGGCAGCTTGAAGATGGACCTCACTAGCACAATGCATAAATCTTGAAAGGACACTTACTGCAAACATGATATCAGGTCTAGTTGCACTAAGATACATTAGGCAACCAATTATACTTCTATAATGATATTCATCTACCTTATCGGCTCCATCATCTTTGCTGAATTTTTCTTTCTGGTTCATTGGTGTATCAATGCTTTTGCAGTCCTCCATGCAGAACTTCTTCAGTATTTCTTTTGCATATTTTTTTTGACATAGAAAAACTCCATCTTTTTCTTGCTTCACCTCCATTCCCAAAAAAAAGGACATTAAACCAAGATTTGTCATCTCAAACATTTGAAGCATTTTAGCTTTGAACTCCATCATTAGTTTTTCATTAGTGCCTGTCACAAAGAGGTCATCAACATAAATAGAAACTATAATTAAATCACCTCCTGCCATTTTCACATATAATGTAGCTTCATTTGGACTTTTAATAAATCCAAGTTTTTTAAGATAATCATCAATTCTTCCATACCAAGCCCTTGGAGCTTGTTTAAGACCATACAAGGCTTTCTTTAGCTTGTAAACCTTATCTTCTTGTTCCTTAACTTGAAATCCCTCTGGCTGCTCCACAAATATCTCCTCTTGCAAATAACCATTTAAAAATGCAGATTTTACATCTAAATGGTAAATTTTCCAACCTTTGTGTGCAGCCAAAGCAAGCAGCATTCTGATTGTATCGAGACGTGCAACGGGAGCAAACGTTTCTGAAAAATCCACTCCAAACACTTGAGCATAACCTTTTACCACCAACCTGGCCTTGTGTTTATTTATAGAACCATCTGCATTTAGTTTAGTTCTATAAACCCATTTGACTCCTATGGGTTGTTTGTGTTGAGGTCGATCTATTAGCTCCCAAGTGTCATTTTTTTCAATCATCTTAAGTTCTTCCTTCATAGCATTAATCCACTTCTCATCCTTTTCAGCTTCTTCAAATTCAGCAGGTTCTAAGACAGCCACATTACACTTTTGATAAGTCTCGGATAAAGATCTTGTACCTCTGACAGGAATTTCATCAACTTCATCATCAAGGAGTTGTGGAGTTTCTAGAAGTTGCTTTCTTACTGGCTTCTCCCAACTCCACTGTTGATCTTCCATGAACTTTACATCTCTACTCACAAGAATTTTTCCATTTTGTGGTTGGAAAATTCTGTAAGCTTTAGCCGTGCTACTATATCCGATGAAAACTCCGGGTTCAGCCTTTTTGTCAAGTTTGTCCCTTTTAACCTGTGGAACATAAGAAAAACAAACACAACCAAAAATTCTCAAATTTTGTAAATCTGGTTTGTACCCAAACCAGCCTTCAAATGGAGTTCTTTTGTTCAAAACTCTACTTGGCAGCCTATTCAGCAAAAATACAGCAGTGCTTGCTGCCTCTGCCCACAGCTTCTTTGGCAAATCTTTCTCATGTAACATGCACCTTGTCATCTCCATGATGCTTCTATTTTTTCTCTCACTTACACCATTTTGTTGTGGGTTGTATGGTACTGTAAGTTGGTGCTCAATGCCAGCTTCTGCACAAAATTTATCAAAAACGTCATTTGTATATTCTTTTCCATTGTCAGACCTTATTATTTGTAATCTGCAACCACTTTGATTTTCCACAAATGCTTTATATTTCCAGAAAATATTGGCAACCTCAGTCTTGGATTTAAAGAAATAAATCCAACAGTATCTAGTATAATCATCAATAAAAGTAATATAATATTTATTACCATTTAAAGACAATACTCTCTGAGGTCCCCCAACATCTGTATGAACAAGTTGTAGCCTTTGAGTTGCTCTCCAAGTGGTTTGAGGAAATGGTTTTCTGACTAGTTTACCAAGTTGGCAAGCCACACAATCTGCCAACTTGTCTTCAAGCATCGAGACACCTTTCACCAAGGCATGTTTCTGCATGTATAACAGTCCTGCAAGATGAAAATGTCCAAGTCTTTTGTGCCATAGATCAGCATCGGTAGTTGTGCTCGAAAAAGCTATTTGCTCCTCCTCCATCAGATTTAGAGCATAGCTCTTAGATCTCATTTTCACTCTAAATACATCTTTGCCTTTTGTGTCTTTGATCAAGCACCAGTTATTTTTAAATATGACTTTGAAGCCCTTTTCCACAAGTTGTGCAACACTAAGCAAATTTTGGTCAATGTTAGGCACATATAAAACATCAGAGATATACTTCAAACCTGTCAAGCTTTCAATAGCGATGGTCCCTTTCCCTTTAACTGAGATGAAATCACCATTTCCAATTTTTACTTTGGAAATGGTGGTTTTGTCAAGCTCTTTAAACAGCTTTTCGTCGTGGGTCATGTGGTTTGTGCAGCCGCTGTCTATTAACCATGAGTCACTAGAACAGTTGATTGTAGTGAAACATGTTGCAACAAAGAGTTGCTCATCTTCTTGCTCCTCCAAGGTGACATTTGCCTCTTTTGATTTAGACTTGCAGACTCGCTCTACATGTCCCAAATCACCACATTTTCTACACTTGATATCTGGCCTCCACCAACATCTTTCTTTTGGATGATTTGTCTTTTTGCAATGTGGACAAGGGGAAAAGTTCTCACCTTGCTGTTCGTTGAAACCTTCTAGCTTTTTGTTCTTCCATTTGTTGTTGTTTTTGCCACCTTTTGAATTGTGTGCTTTTACATGAAAAGCACCTTGTACCGTCTCATCTTGTCTCATCATTCTTCTTTGCTCCTGGGCCTGTAAAGCATTTACCAATTCTCCCAAGGTGATGGTTGACATGTCTTTTGACTCCTCCAATGCTGATATCTTTGATTCATATTTTTCTGGTACAGTAACCAAAATTTTTTCAACTATTTTTTCATCAGGAAAGTCTTTCCCGAGAAGCTGCACTTTATTTGCTATATTCATCAGTCGATCAACATAATTTTTAATTGTTTTTGTCTCCTTCATGCTCTGCATCTCGAATTCTCTAGCTAAGTTAAGCACTTGCATGCCTTTGGTTCTTTCACAACCAGAATATTGTTTCTTGAGATAATCCCAAATCTCTTTGGCAGATTTGAAATTCATAATTCTTGTAAAAATGATTTTTGACACAGCAGAAAAAAGGCAATTTTTTGCCTTTGCTTTTTTTGTCTTTCTCTCCTTGTGGTACTTCATTTGAGCCACAGTTGGATTGTCAGGCAATATAGGAACATCATAATCTTCTTCTACTGCCTCCCAAAGATCCAATGCTTCAAGATGACAGATCATCCTTGCAGCCTATAACTCATATTCCTCACCATAAAAAATTGGCGATGAACCTACTGTGTATGTATTATCCTCCATTGGTGTTTCTCTCAACTCACAGATCCCTCAAAGATAAAGGCTCTTGATACCAATTTGTTGTTGTTAACATAAAATAAGAGTAGAAGGATAAAAATGTTTTGCAGAGAATACTTCGATATTATTCACTTGCTCGTTTTAAATAGAGCTAGAGTCAAACATACAAAATAAAATATCCCTTATTTTTAGGCACGACTAACAATAATTCAATCTGATAAACAGAAACAAAAACTCCTAATGACTAGGTCTTAAATAACAGAAAATTAAAATTTAAAAATTGGATAAAACAGCCACGTGTGCAGTTGTTGCAGACATATTTTCAACAGAGGTCATATAAGGAGACAGTTTATGGGCCATATAGAGAAACTTAAGGAGGAGAATGAGAACCTTATTGACACAATTTCCAAGCATGTAGGCGAATACCTTAAAGCTAATGTTGTTGATGAGCAGATTCCAGCTCCGCAATTGCATCCTGATGACAACTTGGTGGTTGATGTGTTGCCATCAGGAATTATGAACAATCTTTGTGAAACCGCAAGGCTAATGGTTGTCAATGGATTTGAGAAGGAGTGCTGCAATATGTACAGCAGTTGCAGGAGGGAGTTTCTAAAACAGTGTTTATCATCACTTGGTTTGCAAGTGGAGGAGCTCAACATGGAGTACATTGACAACATAATGGAGAAGATTGAGATTTGGATAAAAGCTTTGAACATAGCTGTGACCATACTGTTTCCTAATGAAAGGAGACTCTGTGATGTTGTCTTCCGGTTAGCTTCTGCCTCAGATTTTTCTTTCAAGGAGGTTTGTAAGGAATTAACTCTTGATCTATTAAGATTTGTGAATACCTTAGCAACTGAGAATCATTCTCCTTATCATTTATCCCATGTCATTCCCAAAGTGTTCAAGACTTTTAGTGATCTGATTCCAAATTTCAATTCATTTTTTTCTGGTCAATTGTTCAGTGAATCACTGATAAATGAAGCACTTCTGGTTGGGAAGAGATTGGGCATTTTTGTGGAGTTGGAGAGTCTTATTCGCCGAGATATGGCGCAGGCGACTACTCCCGGCGGCGAGCTTCATCCAACAACATTCAAAGTGATGGACTATCTCAGAGATGTTTTCACTGATAGCAAGAGTTTTCCTATTAGAGAGGGAAAATCTCCATTTTCTGATCAGGTAGCCAGGATAATAGTGCTGTTAGAGAGCAATTTGGAAGCCAAGTCCAAAACCTACACTGACCCTGCATTAGGCTATGTTTTCATGATCAATAATTTGATTTTTTTACAACATGGGGGAAGTATATATGGAGTCATTTTTGGCGAAGATTGGTACATAGAAAAGATCAAACAAAACATTGAACTATATCAAAGAAGCTCGTGGGATAAGATCTTGGATTTTTTGAAGCTTGACAGCTATGAGTCAGAGTCAATGAAAGAAAAGCTCAAATTGTTCAATTTGCACTTCAATGAGACATGCAAAGTTCAGTCTGGATGGTTTATCTTTGATGAGTTGCTAAGGCAACATATAATAAAATCAATAGAAAACATGTTATTGCCCACATATGGAAACTTTCTTGGGAGGTTTCAAGATGTTGTTGGTAAGGATGCTTATGACTGTATTGAGTATGGAATAAGCCACATTCAAGATCGACTGAGCCTCTTGTTTCTTGCAAGTAATTGATGAAGACTGGAGAAATAAATGATACTGAAGTTCGTGTGGATTTAGGGTACAAAAATTTTGTTATCTCAACATAATTCTAAAGGGTTTGTGACCTTGTACTGTGTCCTACTATTACACATTTCGGATCAAAATAAAAAACCTGTGAATTCTCTTAATTTTTTTTTTGTTTCAGATTAGCTTAGCTTAAATTCAAATCCAATTTGTCACCGGGAATGTATCTTTTGTTTTATTCGTGGCTTAATAGTATTTTTTGACGGACAATAAAATGACAAGCTACCGTCATCATTCTTTTAAATATGTCATTGGTATCAAAGATTCTTTTAAATAAATCACAATGAATATTTTAATGTAGCATTATAATTTTCATGTTATTAAGATACATGTGTTGGTATCATTTTTTTACCAATCTTCAAATATTTAAAGATTGTAAAAATTGTATATGTATTTTACAATGTTGTTTTCAATATGTTTTTCAAAGCATTTATCTTGGTTGCTTTATTTGGGAAAGAAGATTCAATGGTGTGTAGCCATTCACATTTCTTTAATCAATTCATCTTCGTTAATTTCAAAGCGAACAAATATAACTAGAAATTCCTTTAACAAAGGACAAAATAGGATCACATGACAAAATATTTTTGCTCTTTCCCTTTCTCTATTTTTAACAAATGATATGCTTAAAAGCTTTGTAAAATATGCAATAAAAGTCACATTATAATTAGCTTTAAAAGGTTAACGTAGTTGTGGAAGATTTTGTTACGTTCGCCTATGAAAGATCAATCTATTTGTTGTGCATAAAATTTCCTTGTGTCAGCGGCAACTTACAAACTGCAAATGCAATTCTAATATGTTTAGTATAATAGATATGTACTTATTAATCATTAATTTTCCTATAAAAAGTAATTCTTTTAGTATATTTTTCTTTGTTAAATTTAAACATATTGATCAAATATTATTATGTTCTACAGGATAAAAGAATCTAATTAAATTGAAAATAAATTTTACAATTAAAAAATAATAAATAAAAGTGATAATGCTGAAAAGTTACTAAAACGAGTTGAAAAATCATGACTAAACATAAAGAACTTCTCAAAAATTAAGAAAATGACTATTAATAATAGAAGTAAACAATTGATTAATCATCATAAATTAATATAAACATTAATTATCACTCATAGTATTTAAAATTAAAAAAAAAAACTGAATTAAAAAGCAAGATTATACAAATTTTACTTAGGTAAAATTTAAATAATTTAGGTAGCATGACAAGAATTTGCATCTCAAGTCTCAACTTTTATATATTATATATCAGAACAGGTAATAGATAAATATTGTATTGACGGTGATCGTAGAGCAAATAAAACTTAACTATTGGTATCGTCGTAAGCTTCAAAGTCTTCTAAACTGCTAGCTATGCAATAATAATTTTCTTTCAAGTTAGGTTTACCGTGTTCCTTTCCATCTCAAATCCCTCACTATCTTACAAGCCAATCCAAAAATGTTCTTGAAGTAGTTAATCAATGACAGGTCTCCAAGACATGCAAATGATGCAATTAGTGGCAACTTCAATGGATTCTGGGAGCTCTAGCCAGGGACCGAACCTTCCTGCATTTGCGTCTGTCAAGAGATTCTAGCTGTGAAAGATGCTTGCTGCATTGTCAACCACAAGAATATATGATCGATGAACAATGCACTGCTGGACTTTTACAGTTTAATTTTGGATCCATTCTACACCCAACAGCTTTCCTTGTCACTGTATTTTGCCGTCTGAACAATATTACTTCCAATATTCATCATGAAAAACAGAGAAAGAACAGGGTCTTTGCAGATTCCCTTTTTGAGAAACACAAATAAAATATGAACATATACTTGAGAAAACATATACTTAACACAACCACGATACTCAACCCTTGGAAGCATTTCGACTGGAGTGTATTTTTCTGAAAACTAGCTAGAAGATCCACTAATATTGATCTTCATCGTGGAGGTTGTTCATGTTTTACCTATGCTACCTGTGATGCTGCCATAATGATGAAGCACCCCTCATATCTTGCAGGAATTGCCTATATCATTGCTGTTTTCAAGTTCATGGTTATTGGTTAACATAGTTGTGTTGTCTCTCAATGTAGCATCAAGTTTAACCTTCACTAGTTATATTGTAAGATATTATCCTCTGAGTCGTGAAATGCACTTCAGAAGTTCAGGCTGAAACGTAGCTGGTTTTATGTGCATGACTTTATTGTGTTGAACAGTAAGCATCAAAGGTAAAAACATATTACAAGATTTCTAAGAAAAATTCCTGCGAAGCTGTCAATTCTTTCGAAAATTCGTGATTAGAAAAGACAACAAAACTCACCAGTGTGAAAGTTTGAAAAACGAGACGAGAGAGTCAATATGCTAATATCATTATGTAGACGGTTATCTATTATTTAATTAACACAAGACATCGGGAAAATGTAACTTGTGGTTCCCATTCCTCCAAATTTCTATCGGAGAGTGAAGGGTTTCTTCCGAGTCCAAAGTGGTGGGGTTCTCTGTTCATGAAAGAAATCTTGCTGAATTGAGAAACATCACTATGCTCAATCTCATCCAAAGTCTGAGATGGCTGATGCAGCCAAAGTTATGGAGATTTGTGTGCTTTGTTTCATCTGTTGTTGGACTCATCTGTTACCCTCTCAGTTCCTCTTTCCACCATTTATTTGGATACTGGAGATGGTGGAAGATATTACTTTATACTGTTTTCTGCTCCATCATATCTTTTGCAGTCTTATTTGCAAAGACACGAGAACGCTCAAGTACTCTGCGGGTGAAAGCTCATTTAGCATTCTTGGTTTTGATCATCACTTCTGTGTACTCATTTTTTTTCGATAAATTGTTCAAAGGAAAAACAGATGCATATGGTCTAGTTTCCTGCACTGCTTTCGCTATTATGTCCCTGGGTTTGTCAAGACAGACTCACTTTGGATTCGAAGTGGATCTCTTATATTTTTTCTGCGGAGCTGTGATAGTACAGTTGATGAAGATAAAGTTATGGTTAGTTACTGTTGGAGCAAGTTTCAGTTATTCCCTCATCATTGTTCGTTCTTCATTGGATGTCCCGTTGGGAAGAAGTGAGCATCTTGAGCTCCAAGGTGCTCAAGATCAAGTAGTCATTGAAGTTGATTTGCCTATTCAAGTCAATACTAGTACTGGTAATGCTCATCTTATGACAGTTCCATTATTTGAACCACTAAAAATTGAAAACATATGTAACACCGCTTTTTATCTTTTCTATATGCCCATCCTAGATTTACACTAAAATACAAAGGGACACCTAAATGTGTCTTCGTCTACTGGTGCACTAAACATTTTTAGCATCTTATGATTATGACAAGCAGAAAATGACGATCTTGGATTCTTAGTTACTCAAGCTGATAATTCACAAGAAGGTAACAGGGATAAGGATAGTATCATGGCAAGGCTCATGAGTTGTATAGAGGCGCTAGAGAAAGAGAATGAGAACCTTATTAACATGCTTTCCGAACTTGTGAACCAATATATCAAAGGAAACCGAATTTCAGTGCTTCAGTTGCTTCCTGATTACGACGTAATGATGCATACGATGCCGTTGGGAATTATCAACGACCTTCACGAAACGGTGAAGCTAATGGTGGAAAGTGGGTTTGAGGAGGAGTGCTGCCACGTGTACAGCAGTTGCAGGAGGAAGTTTGTAGAAGAGTGTTTGTCTACAATGGGGTTGGAAGCACTCAACATGATGGACGTTGAGAATTGGATAACGGCTTGCAAGGTAACTTTGAGGACGCTGTTTCCCAACGAAAAGAGACTTTGCCATCGCGTGTTTATGGGGTTCTCTTCTGCTGCAGATATCTCTTTCAAAGAGGTTTGTGAAGAATTAACAATTTCTCTGCTGAGTTTCGGAGATGCTTTTGCAACTGGGATCCATTCGTCGAATCTTCTCTGCCACGTTATCCCCAGAGTGTTCAAGACATTGAGTAATCAGATACTAGAATACGAATTATTGTTTTCTGATCAGTGTAGTGTATCTCTCAGAAATGAAGCACTCAAGGCTTGGAAGAGATTGAGTGAAGCGAACGAGGGGATTTTCGTGATGCTAGAGAGTATTATTTGTGGTGATACAGTGAAAGCAATTGTTCATGGTGGTGGGGTGCACACGGTTACTTGCCAAGTGATGAACTGTCTTAGAGAAATTTGTGAAGCTAGGGATATTAACAGAAGAATTGAATACATTACTACTCCTAATAGAAAGGAGAACTCTTCTGTAATTTCGATCAAGTTTAATTGGATAATAGAGTTGTTAGAGAGCAATTTGGAAGCCACTTCCAAAAACTACACGGACATTGCTTTGGGCTATGTTTTCATGATGAATAATCTCAGGTATATAGAAGCAGAGGCTAAAAAGTGGAAAGCAAGAAACATTTTGGGCAAACATTGGTTCAGAAAACACGCTACAAAAGTCCGACAGAACTTTGAACTCTATCAAATAACCTCGTGGAACACGGTGCTGGAGTTTTTGAAACAGGACAAAGATGAGTCAGTGGCACCTAGTATCGTAGCAGAGTCAATGAAAGAGAAGATTAGTTTGTTCAACATGCACTTTGAGGAAATATGCAATGTTCAGTCTACATGGTCTGTGTTTGGTAGGCAACTAAGGGAACACATACGAATATCCCTAGAAAACGTCTTGCTGCCAGTATATGGTAATTTCATTGATAAGTTCCAGGATGCTTATGGTAAGCGTGCCTATGACTATATTGAGTATGGAATTTCGGACATTCAAGATCAACTCAACCGTTTGTTTCTTGTAATTCACCCCACTGTTCGTTCCTTGTAAGCAAGCTGATGGATCCATCGCTAAAACTAAAAGAAAAGTAAGTAAAGGCTATCCAAGCTTGTATGGAATCAGAATAATTTTTTTTAATTACTGTTTCTCTAGGATTTGTAATCTTGTATTATACACCATTTTACGATTTTCTTCTGTAGCAGAACACCAGTTGCGGCTTCTTTAGGGGCTCCCTTCACCTCAACTGGGTTTATATATCTCTTCACGTGAAATTTGTTTTCTATGTAGGATAGACTTGTCTCCACGTTCAGTTTTTTTTTTTTTTTTTTTACCTTTCTTTCACTTAATTATTTTTTTTATTATTATTATTTATCTTATCTTAATCTATCTCTTGTAACATTTGGTTTCTTTCTTCTCTACATTTAAACTCATTGAAACTATATTTAGGCATGTATTAATTTAGAAGAGAGAAAAAAAAGAGATTTTTTTTTCTTGTGATTAAAATTTTCTACAAGAAAATAAAATAAAATAAAGTCAAAAAATAATTCATAATCGTATTTAGAAATAAGCTAGAAAGCAAATGTCAATTCAAGAATAAGATGAGATGGTTGTGTCTCTCAATGCCTCTCCTAAAAGATAAGGATAAAGGTAAACACAATTAAACAAGATAAGAGATGGAAGGTGAGGGATAAGAGCAGAAAATAAAAGATATAAACACTCTAAAATATAAATAAAATGATCATAAGATATAGATAAGAGAAATTAGAACTTCAATTTTTAAAAATTCAAAATTTGACTCAAGTATGGCTGTATTAATTTCAAATTTTTTAAGAAATAACTCAAATTCAAACATTTTTGCCCTAAAAAGCTATCATTTAGTTTTTTTTACTCCTTTTTACTATAAAATAGAAAAAAACAGATTAATACTGCTAAACTAATAAGGTTAAATAATTAAAATTTAATTAAGTTTGATCCCTAGAAAAGTTTTACAATTTTGATTTAATTCTTATAAATTTTTTATTAAGATATAGTTTTTAATATTTTTTTATTATTTTGATTGGATTATTGAAATATAGTCAAGTATTATGTTTTGGTTGAACCACATTAGTTAAATAGATAATTTTTTTTAAAAAAATATAAACTATATTATAACAAAAAATTTACAAAAATGAAGTCAAAATTATATAATTTTTATGCAGACTAAACACTTAATTAAATTAATAATTAATCATTCACCTAAAATATTATAAATAAATTAATAAAACAATAATTTATCAAATATAAAATAATAGAAATATTAAATTATAACTTATAAAAAATTTTAAAATAAAATTTCCTTTATAAATCACGAAATAATGATAGCTTCACTTTTAGTTTAAATAAGTATTTTAAAAATAAAGACACTTTTAATAAAGATAAAATAAAATAAAATAAAAAGATGTGATAATTGTAATGAGTAATGTATTATAATAAAATTTTAAATAAATAGTAATATTATTGGATATTTATATGTTCTATATATAGAAAAATATATACACTTTATTTATATCATTTAAACATTAAAAATTACATACATGCACATTCTATTTGTATTATTCAAATAAATTTTATTTTTCTAAATACATGAAAAATTGATATTATATATCTTAATAATATATTTCAAAATTTAAAAGTTATATATAATAAAAATTTTATTTTAAATTAAATAGAATCTAAAATAAAAAATTATAAAACAAAAGACAATTTAAGTGATTTTATAATAATGAAAAATAAATTTATTACTTTTTAAAAATACAATGATGTAAAATTTTATTAATTAAATTAATAATTATTTGAGATTTTGTACGATAGAGATAATTAGGATTAAAATAAATTTTTTTATAAGAATTAAATAAGTTAAAGTCTTAAGCCTTTATGTATATAAAAAAATTTTAATAGTAAACTTACTCACTCAAGTCGGATCCGAATTAAATTAAATAAAAAATTTAATTATTATAAAGAGATTAATAAAATATTTAATCTTTAAATAAATAAAATAAAATAAATTTTGATCATATTTACAAAATAAAAAACTATTAAAAAAAGTCAACAAGCCTCTTAAAGAAACATAGCTTTCTATTTCATTTCTACGAAATTTCTGTGAAAATGAAGGGTTTCTCGGGAGTAAAAAATGGTGTGCTCTGTTCGTGAAAATGAATTTGCAACAAAAGAAATGATGGTGCTCATCCCCATTGCGAGATGGCTGATGCAGTCAAAGATATGGCCATTGGTGTGCTTTGTTTCATCTGTTGTTGGACTCATCTCTTACGCTCTGAGTTCCTCTTTCAACCATTTATTGGGAAAGTGGAGCTGGTGGAAGTTATCACTTTACACTGTTTTCAGTTTCATCATCTCCTTTACGGTATTGTTTACAAAGAAACGGCATAGCTCAACTACTCTGCGGCTGGAAGCTCATTTAGCATTTTTGGTTCTGATCATCACTTCTGTGTACTCGTTTTTCTTAGATAAATTGTTCAAGGGAAAATCAGATGCATATGGTTTAGTTTCCTTTGCCGCTTTTGCCATCATGTCTCTCTGTTTGTCAAGACAGATTCACTTGGGATTTGAGGTTGATCTGTTATATTTTTTCTGTGGAGCTCTATTAGTACAGTTGATGAAGGTAAAATTATGGTTAGTTACTATTGGAGCCATTTTCAGTTATTCCCTAGTCATTCTTCGTACTTCTTTGAATTCTCCACCTCTCAGTGGTCATCTTGTTGGTTCCTCTTTGGATGCAGTCCAAGTTCAAGGAGACCACTTAGCCATTGACGTCCATTCAGATTCACAAGATATCAGTGATGGCAGGGCCATTCAGGTGGATTCATTCCAAGCTATTAATATTGGCACGGCACAAGAAGCCAACACTGACAGTGCTTTTGTCAGTCCAGTTTCACAAGGAAATTTTGACAGTTCTCTTGTCATGCTAGAGTTCCTGAATTGTATAAATGCGTTTAAGAAGGAGAATCTGAAGCTTATCCACATGGTTTGCATGCATGCTGACCAGTGCTTTGAAGGGGAACACGACAGCCGTATGATGCCGCCAGTGCAACTCGACGTGAACTTGGTGATGGATTCATTGTCCTTAAGAATTATTAACAACTTTCGTGAAAACGTGAAGCTCATGGTGGGAGCTGGGTTTGAAGAGGAGTGCTGCCGCGTTTACAGCCATCTCCGGCAGGAGTTTCTAACAGAGTGCCTGTCGAGATTGGGATTGCAAGAGCTGATCAACATGGTGGACGTTGACATCAAGATGCTGAAGGTTGAGAGTTGGATTAAATATTGCAAGGTCGCTCTGAAGATACTATTTCCCAATGAAAGAAGACTCTGCGATCGCGTCTTTGAAGGTTTTTCTTCCGCTGCAGATGTCTCTTTCATGCAGATTTGCAGGTATTTTACCACTCCTATACTGAGTTTTGCTAATACCGTTGCAAATGGGAGCCATTCGCCGTATGATTCTTTCCGCGTCACTGGCAAAGTGTTTGAGACATGGAATAGCCTGCGGCCAGATTTTGAATCTCTGTTTCATGATCAGTACAATGTATCACTGAGAAACGAAGCGAACATGGTCTGGAAAAAATTGAGGGAAGCGAATGCGGGCATTTTTATGCAGTTGGAGAATCTTATTTACCATGATATGCAGCAGGTAACTGTTCCTCACGGCTTTCTCCATCCAGTTACCCGCCAAGTGATGAACTGCTTAAGCGATGTTCCCGTGTTTAAAGAAATTTCTCACCAAATTTTTGCAGAGAACACCATAGTTCCTAGCACAGAGGAGAACTCACCTTCAATTCGGGACCGGTTGGCTCAAATAGTAGAGCTTTTAGAGAGCAATTTGGCAGCTATATCCAAAGACTACACCAACCCTAGTTTGTTTTGTTTTTTCATGATGAATAACTTGAGATTCATACAGCTTAGGGTGGAAATTCATCCAATGCGAAGGATTCTAGGAAAAGATTGGGGAGAAAAGTACACGGGAAAAATCCAACGAAGCCTTCAACTTTATCAAAGAAGCTCATGGGATAAGGTGTTATACTTCTTGAACCTAGACAACATTGAGTCAGAAGAGCCTAATGTTATAGCTGAGTCAATGAAAGACAAGCTCAATTTGTTCTACCATCATTTTGATGAGATCTGCAGTGTTCAGTCTAAATGGTACGTCATTGATAACCATCTAAAGGAACAAATATTAATATTCCTAGGAAACATCTTGTTGCCAATATATGGAAAATTCATTGACAGGTTTCAGAATGTTCTTGGTAAGCAAGCTTACGACTATATTAAGTATGGAATGCTTCAGATTCAAGATCATCTCGACCATTTGTTTGTTGTAAACTAGCAATCTGGAAAGATTACGGTAATAGTGATGTAATGACTGTGTGGCCATGAACTACACCTGTGCGATTTATTTTATGTTTTACCAATAATTGCGCGCAATTCATGTAATGACTTTGCCTCCTATCATGTAGATGGAGCACTACTCCAATCCAATAGCAATTGCCTGCGTTTTGTGTTCAGAGTTAGCGTACCTTTTTCTCCTCGCAAAGGTGAAATCAAATTGACCATCACTGGTTATACATTAAATAGATTAAATAACCCGTTTAATATTTGAGACCTCAATCCAAGTGGAAAATCTGACTTAAAATCAAATTGTATTTTACTTTATTGTGCTAACGAATCAAGATTTTTTATAAGCTCATATTTTGATATATTTTATGATTTATATTTATATATTTAAACTCTAATTTATATATATTTACACTAATTATATTATTAATTATTACAATTTAACTGAGTTATTATCAGTATATTATAAAGATATTTTGTATAAAATTTAGATATTTTTAGTCCTTTGCTGTGTTATGTAAATCTGAATTTTGAATTTAAAATTTAATCTTAGATAAAAATTGAGATATAAAAATTTAAAATAATTATAATTGTGGATAAAATTGATTTAAAAAGATAGAGCTCAATCGACTGAAAATTCATGGCAAAACCTATATAAAGAGATCTTATGCTTCACATTTGACACTTCTAGTTCTCTACAGAGCTTTTCTCCCTTCTTAGTTCTAACCAAACTAATCTTTGAGAGTCATTGGAGACCATTGGTAAGGATAACGAGTTTTTCTTTGAAGTTTAAGCAAGTGATTGAGCGCCCTTCAAAGAACGAGAATTATTTTTGTCTTTTACCTTTCTGGATTTCTTTTGTGGTTATGAGTTTATTTATCACGTTCTTTATAATTTATTTTGTTGTGCGTAACTAAACCCATAGATAGAGTATATGACGGATCTTACTATAAACTTTATGTAATTTTTACTTTAATGTAGGTATTGATTTTTCTATAATGTTTTGTTTTTATTCTATTTAATTATATTATATATGTTAAGATTTGATCATCCTTAGCATTCTATAGTTAGTTGTATTGTAGGCGATCGTATCACGTGTAATTAACGGAACTATAGGATAAAATGAGATAAAGAGCTAGGTTAATCACATTTAATTCATTTCTTTCAACCGTTATTGAATTAACAAACTCAGAATTCTCATGCTTTCTCGCCCAATTATCTTGCATGATCATTAGGGATGTTTACTCAGAGAAAAGAATATTGACATTATATAATCATTGGGTGTTAATAAAACTAATTATGAGTGATTGACAAATATTTGGATACTATTACCAAGTTAAATTAATTAGAACATAGAGAAGTGTAGTAGGTAAATCCATAAGTCCTAATCTCATTTTATCTAATCTCTCTCATGCAGTTTATTATTATTCTTTTAATTTATTGTTAAAATTAAGCTCTATTTTTTATCCATTACAATTCTGATACGTTTAAACAATTAAATTAAATTATTTTTGGTATTTAAAAATAATCTCTGTGAGACGATAATTTGGAAACTCTTTTCAAAATTTTTTTTATTACTTTTTAATGGATACACTTGATCACGAATAATTTTTTAATTGGATCACAAAAATAGAGCACAATGGAATCCTTTCTTATTTTCTTGTTAAGGAATATATGGTCAATTATGTTCGATCAAAATTTTATATATAATTAGGAGGTTCAAATTCATAAACATTATACAATAATAAAGAAGAAATATTTTAAAATAAAAAATTAAAATTTAATTTAATATTAATATAAAAATAAAATTTAATCTAAAAAAATTACTTCATATGATAAAAATCATAACTAACACATAAAAATCCTTTCATTTGAAAAATTACCTAAAATCACTCTCCAATTAATACTCAAATTTATTCTAATTTTAAATTAAAAAATAAAATGCTTAATATACTAAAATCACTTAAAATGATGAAATCAGAACAAATTCTTGAAAATGCTCTTATAAAAAAGTAGAACTCACAATTATTACAGAGATTGATATAAAAAACTGAAAATTTAATTTATTATTAAATTAAAAAAATAAATGCTTAATCTAAAATAAACACTTAGAATGATAAAAATCAAAATAAACTCTTAGCACTTTCATTTAAGAAATTACTTAAAAACACTTTCTTTTCTTGGCTAAGAGATAGTATGCCTGCTGCTTAAGTAGCTACAATTTTCAGAAACCTCAATATTTCGTAAAATTTTATCTTTCTGCGATAGTCCAAATTTGCAGCTATTAAGATTCTAATTTTGGTGTTAGTAGAAATTGACAGTGACAGTCAGTTATTGCAAAAATAAGCTAGCTATATGTATTTGCTTTTCAAATCAAAACAGTTTTGTATTCTATTAATATATTCCGCGGAAGAAAATGCAAAACTGCGGCTGCATGTACAACAAAAGAAGAAAAAAAAAAGGTGCAAACATCTAAAAATCACCCCCAAAAAATTGTCAGGAACAATTCATAATTCATAACCTACAGCAGCAGAATCTTGTTCGTTAGCAGAAAGTGAACTCTGGAAATATTTGGTGGGTCAACAATTCTAGAAGTTTGCCATGTATGAGACCCATTTTGGGTTCATGTTACTTGTTTATTTAATGCTCTCACTAATAACAACAAATGCTTCATCAAAATACCTGGTAAAGAGAAGTGTTATAAAGGACCCATTTACTATACATTTAGCATAACAATGTAGAATGCATACTATCAAATCTATGAAAACATTCTTCCATTTATTCTTAAGATCATGTTCAATTTATTTATTTTAACATGAATTTTTTTCCAACACATTGAATTTTGATCAATATAAGGCCCCACATAATCATGTTAGTCCCCCTGATAAAGGAAATCACAAGCAGCTTTGGAGCAAACTTTTAGAAACACAAAATTATATAAATCGGGCATCATTTATTTTTACCAAGGAAGACAACCTTTTTATTAACTGATTGAAAATTTTCTCAATAATATTTCAGACTTGAACACAAATTGCCAGCATGAATCCTTATTAGACCAGCTATAAGTATCCAAGTCAAATTCTAAGAAAACTACTAGAAACTAAGAGAGTTTATTCAAGTAATATGAAGAAAGATTCAAATAGTTTGATACTATTGAACGTATGTATTAGCAGTTGCCTTATCATTTTATTTTTTTTGCTAGTTGTTCAAGCAAGTTTTTAGAACTGTTTCTTTATTTTTCAGTTACTCATTTGCAGTTAATGTTAGTGGCTATAATTTAGAAAGTTTGTTGCGGTTTTATTCAGAAATGTGTGTTCCTCTTCCTTTAATTTTGTGAGTTACGTTTATCATTTCTAGCGGATAGCAAAAAACTAATCATTGAAAGATTATTCATAGATTTTTTTTCCTTCTAGGTTTTTGTTTAAATGAGTTAGAAGATAATACCTTCTGTTTCTTTGATTGATGAAATGAATCTTCTTGTTCATCTTCATGCTCAACAAGGCCATCAACTTCAGTTTTTCTTCCACTTGATTCCAACTCATAAATATCCCTGCTTCTCTTCATGTTATCTCCCAACTCCGATTCAAATCCCAATTGTTCAACGAAATTGAGATATTCTGAACCATATATTTGGCAGATCCCACACTCTTTAATCATCATATTCATCTTATCCTCAGTTTCAACGAAGAATTTAAATGAAAGCTGTAAGTTATAAGCAGTGTACTGATCATTGGTTCTGCTTTCCACAATTGTATTCATCTCAAGACAAAAATTTTCATCATACCACAAGTACACGTGATCTGATACCAATCCTGTTGCAAAAGAGCACATACTTGTGTTGATGATCCTTTCATCACTTTCCAAGTAGCATTCACATCCAATCTTCCAATTGCAATTATTTTCATTTGAGGAGGATGGAGGAAGAATGAGGCAGAAAATGAAACCACATAAGTTGCACTGAGGAGAATGCAAAAGTTCAACGGTTATCGATGCCTTTGTTGACCGATAATTGAACCAGTCTGGAACTCTACTTCCTGGGAAAATAACAGTTGGTGGATGATGATAAGAAGACATAAACTCTGATTTGAAATAGTAACAGGGTTCACTCCTCTCTATTTTTGCTGATACATGAACATATGCTACCTCCTTTATTCTGACATGAGCATCTGTCATGATAACATTGAGGGAATGTTCATTCAATTTAACACAATTTTTGAAGGAAATGAACAACTTGTGCTCTTGCAGTAGTTCATCAATAACAGGAGAGGCAAACACTATCTCCAAGCATGGACAATTGGTGGCATCCAACACTTCAATGGATTCTGGGAGCTCTGGTAGAGACTGAAGCCTCCTGCATTTGCACAAGTCAAGAGATTCTAGGTGGGAAAGTAGCTTGACACTAGTAGGCAAGTTCCCCACATTGCTTCCACTAAGTGATAAATAATACAATGATGATAACAGAGAGATGTTATCAGGGAGTTCAGTTAAGTTACAACAATTATCAAGACACAAGTATCCTAAAGAACGTAGGCCATCAAACAGAAAATGCAGATTTGATGTGTCAAGCTGTCTGCAATCAGAAAGTACCAAGCGGCCAAGAGATCTCAGACTCGCGAACTCATTTGGAAGACTCCTAAGACATCCACAGCAACTTAGCTCCAAGTTTATAAGATTACCAAGATGCTTAATTGATGATGGCAATTCATTAATAGCAGTACTTCTTAAATCCAAATATGTCATTTCTTCAGATGTCACTGAAAATTCCTTTAGACTTGAGCAGCCATAAAGCTCAAGAATTCTGAGAGATCTTAATGGGTCATTGCTTAGAAGTCTTTTAAGCTTTTTGCACCTAACCATGTTTAAATTGACAAGCCTTCTGAGAGATAAAATTGATGGGTGAACATGAGGCAGCCTTACACACCCAGATAAGTTTACATTTTGAAGATTTGATGCCATAGAGAAATCTGGAAGCTCAATCAAATGTTCAGAGCCACTAAGGTCAATTTTCAGTAAATTCTCAACATTCTGTAACAGATCAAAGAAACATCATGAGGGATACAATGTTTTAATTTAAAAATTGAAAAATTCAATTTATATATAAATTTTATACATATATTTATATATATATAAATTATATACATATATTTATATATACCTGGACTCCATTCCATAGTTTTTCAACCCGACTGTTTGGCATGGAAATCTCAACCAGTTTCTCAGGACAAAAGGCTGATGGTAGTGACTCCAAAGGATATCCACTCCAATGGAGGTACCGTAATCTATTAGACAATGACTCAAGACCAGTGGGAAGGTAAACATTACATCTCTCCCCCAAACGAGAGTAGAACTTGAGAAATCTTAGTTTATTCATTTGTCGGAAAACGTCAGAGCTCAAGTTCATACCTCTAGTTCGTGAGACATCAATGCTTATACCTTCAATTGAATTAGTGCCCTGGCAAATGAAATTTAAGAATAGTTGTAAGTACATGGAACAATCTAAGTGTATTTTTGAAAAGATATTCAATTTATAATGGAAGTTGGTGATGGTTTATCTCACAGTGTTATTTGTTAACACATCATAGACTTCCTCATGATGACACAACCGACTGCGTCTCTCTGGGTTTTTAATAGATTCTTGACGAACAATTTCCCAGCCCATTTCCTGTATCAATGCATGCATTTGCAATTCATTGTTATTTGAAATAGTAACGAGAGCTTTTTCCAAAAGGGTTTCTATTCCAACTCCGGCATAGAAGTCACAGGCATCTAGTAGGCTTGTCACATATTTTCTATCCTCTCCTTTCAAAAAGCAAGCAATGTCCAAAAATATGTCTTTCTCTGTATCATCTAAGCTATCATAACTCAGTCTCAATAAATTCTGAATTTCTGTATTGGGAATTTTCTTGAGTTTTGTCAGTGCACTTTCCCATATTTCTTCACTTTTGGAGCGAAAAAACAAACCTAGAACTTTTAAAGCTAATGGAATGCCATCTGCATAAATAACCACTCTTTCTGATAGCTGTTCAAAACCAATATCTGGGTGGTCTTTGTTGAATGCATTTAAACTGAAAAGCTGAAGAGATTCATCGAAGTTCAATGGTTTCACCTCACATATTTCATTCGCTCCCCTAAGCACTTGCTTATCTCTAGTTGTAATAACCACTCTACTACCAGGTCCCAAGCTAGTTAGTTCTCCAACTAGATAATCTAGCTGCTCTAGAGTTCTTAGATCATCTAGCACAAGAAGAACTTTTTTTTTACCAAGCCTGCTCTTACAAAAATTTTCTCCTTCTAGTAAAGCAGACACAAGTTTATTGTGTAGATAAGTCAATCCATGCTTGTCTGAGTCATCTCCAACATTTTCCAAGAAACAGCATCCTTCGAATTGAGAGGAGCAATTGGCAAATATAGCTGTAGCAACGGTTGTCTTACCGATGCCACCCATACCCCAAATTCCTATCACTCGAACTTCTCTTGACTCAGTTCTCAGCAATGATTCAATACATGCATAATTTTTTTCAATTCCGACGAGGCCAGTAGATTTGCTTGGATGTTTATTTTGCAGTTTTCCCGAAACATCTTGTACAATGTCGTCCACGAGTTCAGATTCCAGCCTAGTAAATAATAATAAGAAGAAAGTACACAAAATTAAAGCAACAAAGTATAAAAAAAAATAAAAAATATTATGTCAAATCTTAATTTTCCTCACACATCAACGATCCTAAACATTAGAACCGTCCCATCAATTGAATCGAACTTGGTGGATGATAAGACAATCCGACTTAAATCTTTACCCAAGTTACTTTTATTTCAGCTCCTGGATCCAGATATATTCATGTTGTCCATAGAAGTTGGAAGCTAGTACTATTTTTACTTAGGTGACAATAAACTTACTTAAGAAAAATGAAAAAAATGATGAATTTTTTTAGCAATATTAGTTTAAACTAATTTTTTTATTTAAGCAAATTTTATTAGTTTAAGTAAATTTTAAAATTTTCTTTAAATTTTTTCATCTCTTTCTTCTTTACTTCTAGCACTTTTTCCTCAACTTCTATCTTTAATCCTCCTCCTATTTTCATACTCAATTTTTCTTTTTCTTCTATCGCATACCCAACTCTTCTCTCTTTCTTTCTTTCTATATTTTACTCTTTTACCTTCCTCTCTTCTATCATTCCCCTCTTCTCCTACACCCAATTCCCTTTTTCTCACAAAATTTACTTAAACCAAGATTAAGCAAATACACAAAATTCATTTAAATTAAAAAAAATTACTTAAACTAACTTTACATAAACAAATTTTATTGTTTTCTTTATTTTTGTCTAAACAATTTATTTTCACTTAAATAAAAATGAACTGGATACAACAAGGAAATAATTCAAATCCTTTTAGAGGTGTTTATTTCAACACTTTACTTTTCAATACTTTACTTCAAAATTCAAAAACTTCGTCACAACCAGCGTCACCATTTCTATCGCATGCTACACCACGCAAGAATGGTGAGTACAGTGTCAACTGACAAAGACTCACTCTGACTCAATTTCTGCTATTCATTTTAAATACCCGCTTTCTCTTTTTATCACATTATATATCCTATTTACTTTTTTTTTTCTTCTATTTCTCATGTGTAATTAAAGTTTATTGTAAAATTTCGGTGTGAAAATAATATTATTCTTTTCTTAAAGTAAAAACAAGAGAAATATTAAAACTGGAGCATAATTATAAAAAAAAAATTATTAAATTAGGAAATCACGTGATTTTTATAAATTTTAAGAAATTTTAATTAATAAATAAAAATACATTTAAAAGTGCATTAAAACTGTGATATTAACATTTCTCGTGTTTAAATCGTAACTTGGACACTTAAATTTTGTAAAATAGAGAGAGTAGGGAGTTACATATATTGACGAGAGTCCCATCCAGCCAAAGTGGCTGCTTGAGTCAGAGCAAGTCGCCACTGGTTCACCTTCTCCATGCTGTGCTTGGGATCACGCGCATGCTCCTCAATCGCAATCATATAACTCCCAGACTGCTTCCTTACATGCGACGGGTCTACGTTGTAGAACACAGGTATCACAATCTGGCCCCACTTTGTGCGCTGCTTCATTATGTGGGTGAGCTCATCTAAGCACCACGACGACGATGCGTAGTTTTCCGAGAATATCACCAGCGAGACATACGAATTTTCGATTGCCTTCGTGAGTGCTTCAGAGATCTGGTCACCCTTCCCAAGTGTGAAATCAATGTAGGTTATGATCTTGCTCCGACACAGAGCGGCATAAAGATGGCTGGTGAAGTTGCTGCGTGTATCCACTCCTCTGAAGCTTATGAATACGTCATTTTCCCTCAGAGAAGAAGAAGTTCCACCTGCTGCAGCATCTCTGTGCAACATGATTAGCTTTTTTGAGTCCAAAGGAAAAGCACCGTTACTGCGACATTAAGAGGCTCTAAACGAGCGTTCCTTCTAACACTACTGAGATCGAGCAGAAGCTCGTTTGACGTAATAGAACGTCTAATCCAGACACCCGCTACTTCTCCGCGTGTATCTTTCCGGAAGAAAAGGTTAATAGCATATAGCACTTTCGGCGAAGTAGCCTGAATTTTATTCTTCGTATAAAAGTACTCCGTCTTGTTTATAATATTATAAAAAATAAATGGTAAGTTGAAAAGTATTAATTGTTAAATTTTTATTTTTATTTTTTATTAGTGTTATTAAATATATAAATTATTAATTATATTATTTAATATTATAAATATTTTTAAAATAAAATTTATATTTATAAAAAATATAATACATATAATTACTTTTTTTTAGTTTTAATGATTTAATTTTTTGTTTTTTATAAAAAGAATTAAAAAGAATAATAAATAATATTAATTATAAAAAATATTTTCTTATTTTAAATTTTTTATATTATTATTTAAAATTAAATAAATACATTAAAAACTTATTTTAATTTTTTTAAAATAACTAATTTTTTTCATAAGAAAAGGCTCATACAAATGATTTTTTTTAAGAGATAACCGTTTTTTAAATAAAGTACAAAAGAATTAGAAAAAAAGTATTTTTTATAAATTAGGTAAAATACTCGTATGAATACTCATTGAATGTTTAATTAAAAATATATTATATTTAAAAGTTTCTAATAAAATTTAAAATTTACTATGCATCTCGCCAAAAAAAATAAATTAATATGCATCATTATACCTTTTAAACGTTGAAATGATGTAATATATATAGTTGTAAATAAAAATATACGTGGGACGGTAGGGATAAAGCAAAAATATGCATATAGTATTAAATTAAATGATAAAAAAATGTCAAATATCTTAAACTAAAGATATTTTTCACACAAATAAAAAATTCATAATATCATCACATTCAAAATTTGTATATAATTTTTTAACCTAAACTAATATCTAATATAAAAAGACAACATAACAATTTATTTTATATGTAAAAAAAAAATATTAAAAAATACCTATGATGTTGTTTTTTTATTCAAATACTTGTAGTAAATAAATTTAATTTAATATATTTATATATGTATATATATATAATAAAATGATAAATAAAAATTGTAAAGATAAAATTATTTTTTTAAGCATTAAAATTTTATTAAAGATAAAAATAAAGTATAAGAACTTTAATCTATTACATCTTTTAAAAAATATAATAATACATGTCAAGGAATCATTGATCCAATTACATATATAATTGAGTTTTTCAAAGGCTTTATAGTGAGTTATTTTTAACAATGATATTTAATATAATTAAGCATTTCACTAACATTTAGCATACAATTATTAAAAATATTATATCTATGAAGCTAAATTGTCCATATTACTTATTGTAAACTACACAATTGTAACTTCTCTCCATTTTTTCTTTCCACATCAAATCTTATACATGCTCAGTAATATTTCGTGTAAATTTTTAAGTAAGTATATATTGACACAAAATCATTAGGACATTGTATATCAAAGTCTCATATATAGAAATACCACAATGCAAAAAAAGAAAGAAAGTGCATATCCTCATTTTTGGTATCACACAACTCACAAGCTTCTGATGGAATTATTAATTTGAATTTGGTTAAATTCCTCTAGAACTCGATTAAACAATAGACATCGCACAAATATCACAACTTTTCTCGGTGCACTAACTTTTTAAATTTTGCGTAAAGCTTGCACTAGACATAGCTCTAAAATGTTACCTGTAGTGAAAAAATTATAAATGTAATGATTAAGCGAATTGTTATTACTATCAAACTTACACGTCAACATATTATTCATATTTTCTCTTGGTCTCTTATCTTCTATAATATTGCACAACTGTTGCTGAAAATCTTCCTTCCATGAAAATAAATTGTCCTCTACGAAAAAAATTTCACACCTATTGACTTGCTTACAAACTCATACCACGTTCCTCTACCAATTTAAAATATCATGAGTCAACTCTAAAAAAAACTAAATTATCATCACATGATTTATATTGCACCCATAACACATTAAAGCACAACAAATTTAAGAACTTCAATCTTCTTCAAACTCATTTACCTAACAAGCTTTAATTAAACTATTCCATATTTTTTTATCCCTAAATCGCTCTCATTCTTTGGCATACTCTTTTCTATTTAATTTAAGTTATTTGTTATGATTCCTTCATGCCACTCTAAAAAAATTAATATTAAATCTTTACTACATCCTTAATAACACCTGATATTATTCTAAATAAAATAAAATAAAATAAAATAATGTAATAGAATACTATTTAGAATGACATAAGTGTTAATCTTCCCCTAATGTAAAGATAAAATTGTTAACATACACAAATTATATTGACAAGAAATTAATTTATTAATTGAAATATAGATTACAATAATTAAAAATAAGATTGTATATTTAAATTGAAATTAACTCATAATAACTTACATAAATTAAAAATTATATATATAAATGAAAAATACGTGTTTTTTTATTATTAACTTATATGTAATATATATATATATATATATATATATATATATTGTGGGTTAAAATTTATTATTTTTAAGCACACTATAATTTATTTAAAAATATAATGAAATTATATTTTTTTATTATTAATCCTATAATAAATAATATTTTAAATTAGTCATAAGTTTTATTAATATAAATTTTATATATTTGAAAAATAATTTTAAATTTAGTCAATAAAAAAGTTATGCTTATTCTATTTAGAGTTTAAGATTTTGAGTTTAGAGTTTAATGGTATTTGTTTGACTTTCTATTCCTTGAAAACACAATTATTTCAAAACTACAGTGTGTAATTTTGGAAGATTGGATCCATATTTCTTAATACAAAAAAATAACAACATATTTTTATGATTGGTGTTTTTAGAAAAAATTAAAATAATTTTTAAGATGTAATCTATTTATAAAATAATTTTTAAACTAATAAAAAAAAGTATATTAAAAATATTTTAAATGAATGTATTAGTAATGTTTCTCTTTTTAATAATTAACTCCCAGCAAGACAGACTATATATGCTTATACTAGCATGCCTTTGAAAAAGTTTTAATTTGCTAATAAATAAATGAAATAATTTTTTATAAGTTAAAATTAATTTATATATATATATATATATATTATTTTCCATGCAAATATTTTTATTTTTCTTAATTATATATTTGTCATTTTAAAATACTAAAAAAATTATATATTTTTATTTATTTAATAATACTTTTATTATGAAATTATCGTGTCTTATTATTTCTGTCCTGTAATGAGTTAAAAAATATCAAAATATTTTTATTACATTTTTATTTATAATTTATACTTTTTAAATATTTTTATAAAAATAATTAGTTTTAAAAAATATAATTTTAATATTTTTATAAAAAATATATCACATTTTTAATAAAAAAGTATATTTAAAAATCTATGATTCTTTGAAAATAAAAAAAATATTTATTTAAAAAACTTATAAAAATATTTTATTTATTTTATAAAATATATTTTAAATTTTTGTAATTCATTTCTTATTATAATATTTACCTAATAATAAATTTAATCATTAAAAAATTGAATAAAATTATTATAATTTAAGATCAAATTTTAATATCATACGTAAATAAATATATTATTGTTAATATATATTAAAAATTAAAAATTTTAAGTAAAAATCATTTTAAAAAAATTATACTAATTTTGATAAAAGAATAATAGTCATTTTTAAGTAATTTCTATTTTATTTTATTATTTTCAATTTATTTTAAACAAAAATTGTAATGTAATATTATTTATTTTGATATATATTATATAAGATAAAATAAAAATTATTTTTCTGTTACCGTATCATATTTACTTTTTATTTATTTATCTTATTATTTCCTATTCACCAAATGGTCTATTCCAACTATCAAAAGTGAGTTTTATTTTCGCTCTCCTAGGTCATTAGTAAAGATTAAGAGCTAAGATAGTAAACTAAGCGAGTTAATGTATACAAGTAATCAAGTAAGACAAATACGATAATAACAGCAGGAAGATGGATATAACTTTCAGGATCTCAACCATTGAATTTGAAAAACAAAAAATATTTAAAAAGTAACAAATATAAGAATAAATGGTTATAGTTGAAACTAAAAATCTGGTACGATGAAAAATTCACTCCACTGTTAGACAAGTCATGGGCCTGAAGTATAATGAGACTTCTAAGCACAGTAGAGTATTTAGGGTGTTTCTGCACACCGTTCAAATCAAATTTAAAGTGAGGTTCCGGAGAAATTTTTCTATTTATAAAAAATTTGTCAAGTTATGAGTAGCGTTAAGGTCTTTTTCGAAATATAGGGTTGAAGCATGTATCCTATCACCTCCTCGGGTGGTCGAGTCCTTTCTACCTATGATAAGTTTAAAAAATTTGAAGGCAATCTCTTAGAATATAAGAGGGGCGAAAAACATTAGAGGTAGATGTTATTTGCATGAGATGGTGAACAAGTATGATCCAAGTTTATTGGTGAGTTCTGAAACTCATGCTCAGTTTGATACCACAAAAAGTATTGGGACAACTTGGGCTACTCTTCTTTTGCGGTTAAAGAAGCACATGGTCAATCCAGCGGACTATGGTGCTTATGCTAGAAGAATAGCTCATGGAACGTGCAAGTGTTTGATTGCTTTCACCAACCAATAAGTATTCAAATTTCCTGTGCCAATGAATCCTGGATGCTAAGCGGTGTATATGGGAGTTCGATTCCTACCACTAGAGACAAATTGTGGAAAAGACTGGTGGAGTCGAGGAGGAGCATTATTATACCTTGGCTCATCATTAGGGATTTCAATGAAATTCTCTTACCTTCAGAGCAACAAGGATGTCATTTTCCCTTCTCTCGTGCCAATGTTTTTGCTAATTGCTTGGACGGGTGTAATCTTGTGGACATTTATACGGTTGGAGGTAGTTTACATGGGATAGAATGCCTAAAATGGATCCTATATGGCTTATGTGACAGTGTTTGGGGGGTTGCTTTTCCCGTGG